TAGCGCCTCAAACTAATAGCGCTTCGAATTAGTGGCGCCTCAAAGTAATGGCGCTTCAAACTAGTGGCACCTCAAATTAGTAGCGCTTCGAATTAGTGGCGCCTCAAACTAATGGCACCTAAAATTAGTAGCGCCTCAAATTACTCTCGTTTACACTGGCGCGTTTTCGTTTCGGTTAGAGCCCTAAATAGAAGCAGAGGTTTCCGCCAAACAATCGTAGCGACACAAATACTGGCCGGACGAGGAGTACGATAATGAAAAATACGACTATCCACTTAAGCCGCGTCGGTCTTATCGCGCCACGAGTTCTAGGACTGAACTAACGGGGCTCTTCTCGTTAACGAGGACCGATAAGAACTTCATTGCCGTGGCTCCAGAAAAGGGGCTCCGAGGCTTTACGCAAATTTAGACAAATGGCTCTCGTGTTACCGCGAGTGGATAGAATACGGCTCGTTTCGAACGAGTCGGATCCCAGCTTAAGGGGGAGCGAAAAAGACGCGTGGCTGACGTTGGCTCTCGCGGTGGCCTACGCTACTCCTCAGAGGCCGTTCGTAAATTACGCAAGGCGTTTTCTCGAGACACTGTTCCTCCACCCTTTTCCTGGATATTGCGAGATTTTTTCCCCTCGTCGTAAAACCAAGTCCTTTAATTCCTTTTAGAACGTAATATAACCGATCGCTGGACGATACCTCAGGGGTCTCTCGAAACTTCAAATTCTTGGACAAGTGGAGTGGATTTTGAACCTCGAATGGACCATTAAAAAATTCTACGAGTTGTCCAACCGTGATCGCCATGAATCTCGAATAAACGATGTCTTCGTTTTGAAACCGTTCGGGTATTTGCGATCGACCGAGCACGTGGTCACGTTGAAAGAACGCACGAGCAGACAATGGTGTCAAGATCGGCAGAGCTGGCTCGGTGGAATCCGTCCAGGATTCGATGTTGGCGAAGAAAGTGACCCGATGGAGATGGCTGGCGGTGGCTAGGCAGGCGCCTATTCCATCGTATTTCCTGCCACGGAGGTTAAAGAGAATTGGATGGAAGCCTGGACGGCGTTACGACGGGCGTAGCATTAAATGCTTCGAGCTCGGTACAGCCTCTAAGAGCAACGGTAATTCCTAGCGGGTGGTAGACGTTCACCTACTCGTTTCCAGCCCCTATCAACCTTGTCCAGCACCTCCAGGCCTTCGAGTACGTCCCGTAAACGCGTGCCCTTCTGCTCTCCACCTTGCCCTAGCCTTGTCCCAGCAAATCTTCAAGGACTACCCAGAGACGGATAAAAGGCTTTGTGGACCGGCCGGGTCCACGGGATATATTAAATTAGGACTCATCCCCCCAGCCGCTGCACGACGCTGAGGTTTTCGGGTAATCGTCGGGAAACTTGGAAATGGGAGACGCACTGGCTGCTGTGCCTTTGATAAGGTTCAACTTTTAACCCTTTGCGCTCGAGGCATTTTTCTATCGAATCGAATCCGGCCCAGTTTTATAACGAATTTCTGCGAAACCGAAAGCT